TTGAGCTAGAAATTATTTTTGTATTATTGAAGGAAATTTAAAATTACTTTTTAGTGAAAATTCAAACCATTATAAAAATTCTAAGACTAAAAGATATACAAGAACAATTCTGATCACCTGGTTTGAAAAATAAAAGTTTCATCAGTGCAAACTAAGAATGTTTTGAAAATATTATTAAAACATCTTGGTAAGGAATTATGCACAATCATTTAGAGCATAAAATCTCACCAAAAGCTATGGTTACAGACACAATCTAATATTCTTATGAAAATGTTGCAAAGCTTTAATAATCTTGCTTCTGCGACTGGCAAGTCCACAGATGACATCCAATTCTCGAAACTCCAGTGAGGGTCATAATGTAGTAGCTCCACAAAATTCAGTCCTAACTCTCCTGTCCAATACTGTATATTTATTTTATATAGTATTTAGGCAGTGTACATTTTCTTTTCTCTAACAAACTGAATGTGGGCACTCTTACCCCTTGTAATTTTCCCCAGGGAACACAACATTTATCATTTTACCAGTTTTAGCTTTTAAAAAAAAAAAAAAAAAAACCACTGAATTTCAAGTTACCCTGCCTACTCAACAATTTCTTTACAGAATGAAATAAGAAATTCTGAAGAAAAAAAAAAAAAGGATGTAAACATCCCTACACAATCTGAGCTTATTTTCTAAACCCGATGGATTTTAGATTTCAGAGATCTGTGAGAATTAAACCTGAGTCTTCAGTTTTTTAAGTACCTAAGAAGAGGTAACGGGGTTGGAGAGATGGCTCAGCCGTGAAGAGGACTAGCTGCTTTTGCAGCTGGGTTCGATTCCCAGCACCCACATGGCATCTAAAAAATGTACTTCCAGTTACAGGGGATCCAACATCCTCTTCTGATCTCTGTGGGCATTGCAGGATGAGGGTGCACTGACAAAAATGCAAACAATACACTCATACACATAAAATAAAATAAATATAATATTTTAGAAAAAGAAGAGGTGAGGGTGTGGCAACCGTAGCCCTCACCTTGGCTCCTTGTCCTCTGCCACCCTGTTCCATTAATGCTCTATAACCCGTCCAATCAAATTAGTATTTCTTTCTTGATTGTGGTGGTTGGGGTAGAGGTGTTGGTAGTGACAGCAGTAAAAATCATATAGAAGTCACTCCAATGTGTTCCAAAGATTGAAAAACTATGTGCAGTAAACATTCTTGAAGAATGTCACTCTTCTTCCTGTTTTAATCTGCTGTTGCCTTTTCAAAGCTGACATGCTCTAAATTGGGTACATTTCCATTATCTGCCACAATGTGCTTCAATTGTCACCAAAATTTAGTGAAAAATTTGTCCTTTAATTTGTTGTATAACAACACTTCAAAACAAATAGAATTAAACTTGCTTCACTGATATTCATGGATATTTCTAGAAAACATGAGCACAAAATCCAGAAACAATGTTTAATTTTTTTATAAGTAGAGCTTACAAATATTTAAATCAACATACACACACATATGCATACATAGATTCTTGTTTATAATTTTTCTTCTTGGACAAAAATTTTCCTATGTAATTCTTAGTAAGAAGTTGGTTATATTTAGATAATTCCCAATTTTTATTGCTTCATAATACTTTCCTGTATCAAGAGCTTTTAGTTTACAAGAGTGGTGGGTTTAAATCATGTGTTTCTATCAACCCTCCCTCCAGATTGGAAAATCTGTATTGCATTTTGCTTTGGTGGATGGCAGGGGGGTGCTTAAATGGAGAGTAAGGTTGTGTGCAATGTAAAGAAGCTTACATAACCAATTTAATCTGTTATGATAAGATGATATGTTTAGAAAGTTACTTTTTGTGTAAAAGTAATTTTCAGAGAGACAGAGTGACTGAAGGTCATTTGAGAATATTTCTCACAGAAAGAGTAAAAAAGAATAAGTAAATATTACAGGAGCATAATCTTTCCTGGTATTGAAAAGGGTACACATAGCTAGAGTGCTTGGATAGGTATTAAAAATGAAATTGAAATAAGAGATTCACATTATCTTGAGCTCTTTATGTTGAAAAGACATGGAGGAATTCAAATAAGAAAATGTCAGTGAACTCAAGTTCCTTTCCTACTTCCTCCATAATTCTCCAAGCAAAAGTAACAGTCCACTTTAGGATTAAGACACTGTAAAACACAGAAAGGAATTTAAATAATAAAGACCAATATTAATGTAATCAATCTGTAACTTAAAAGATCTTGCCTTTGAAGATTAACATCATTTTTATTCTATAAATGGCCAAAGAAATAACTAACGGCCCAACAAAGCCAGCCACACTAAACAACAAAACCCTTTTATTGTTTTGAAATGATGTTTTGACAGGTTTGCCCTTGAATTCATTTGGCATTTTAGAAATAATAGCACTTCAGATTCATAGAAATTAGAGTTGCACAGCACAGCAACAAAATGAGAGGCATTGGGGAGCTATCACATCAGGTTTCTCTTCAGCACTTTAAGGCAAAAGAAAACCAATTGCCTAACCAAAGACTAGATATCAGTACATTGCCTAGAGGCTAGCAGAATGTCAGTGTGCATTTATTTGTTTGTTTAATATTTTGATTGGGCTGGAGAGATAGCTCAACAGTTAA